CAAGTGAGAAGTAGGGTCATTCCTCCATAAGACTACATACTATCTGACTTCAATGGAGCTGCCTTGTGCTGTCTATTACATAGAATACATGTTTAAGACACTTGTGCGTGGCTTCAGTTCACAGACCTGGAAGCTGTGTCCGCTTGATATACTGTGTATGGTCTAGACTAAATTATCTCAATAACTACTGGATGAATTACCATTATTATTTATGGATTTGCTTAGAACCAGCTTACTGTTAAAACAGACTTACAAGGATGGTGTTCATTTGGAAATGTGAATTTTTGCTCTGTTAAGAAAACCTATATAATTTGACTTGTACCTAGTAAATTACACAATCAGTATAGTGAAAAGACAGTAGGTGTGATGGTTGATGATATGGCATATTTTGAAGCAACTTAGGTCGGAAGTGGTTTTAAATAAAGACAAATACAACCTACAACCAAAAGAAAAAGAAGACAAGGACAGCTTTTTCGAGGAAATACTATGTGGCAGTGGGCCAAATGTAACTGCATGTCAAGAGAATGCAGAAGGTCTACATCTTCAGACGTTGTAAAACTGTAGGCCATGTAAATAACTAAGACATGGCACTGTAACACATTATGACACTTTCCAATTCAGAAACATAAAGCTTGCAACAAAGAACAGGAAGCATTTAGCTGCCTGTGTTTGCTTCTGTGTCTTCAAACAGCTTGGATTTCTTTTCTTTACCTGCACCTGGCAGATAGCTGATGTGTTTAAACCCCCTCTGTAATAAAATCACTGTTCCTGTACTATTGTTAGTGCAAAAAGTCCGCAGCTCTCAGGGGAGGCACATTGATCTAAAAGCCTTCATCCTAGCATGGCCCCACTCATGTATGTGCCGTGCAGATTATATCCTTGAATAAGCATGGCTTCACAATAAAAGAGCAGCTTCACTGGATTGGAAATGTGTTAGAAAGGTCAAGTAGAAGTTCTTCTTGTAGTCAGCAGAAAACTTCTCAACAGGCAAATAGTGTCAACCTGTAAAGTCTGAGTCTGATGTAGATGGGGCCACCAGATGAGTATCAACTGACATCTTGTCCATAACAGTACACCTATTCTGTTTACCTGCATGAACACACCCAGTTCAAGTATTCCTCCAAACACCACACCAAGCTGAACAGACATTTACTCTGCAGGTTTTGTGCAGTACATAAGCAACCAGGGAAGGCAGACAGGGAAATGAAACAGCATGAGAGCGTTGATAGTTTCTTGTATACCAGTGTGATTGCCTCATAGTTGTGAAATGAAGCATGGGGAAGATTTCATCAGGTTGGTGCCTCCTCAAGCTAGTGAGGCCGGGACGTTTGCATCAATAAAACATGGCACATTCACTGAATATGCAGTGTTACATCGACAAGGACCCCCCTTACGTGCCTCTTCAACTCAGCAAACTGTTTGTCCTGCAATTGCTTTCCAGTGAAATCTTGAGCGGGAGATGAATAATTCATCTTATGTACTTTAGGCAGATCTACCACTAAACAAAACAGCCATTATCTGCCAGGCTGCATTTGGAAAGGAGCTGATTCCAAAAGGCAACGAGTATGGAGGAAAAATGC